GCTTATTTACATAGGTAGGAATAATGCTAATGCTTGGTATAAATATATTGACAAATAATGGGGAATAGAGCATGACATGAACGAATTATTTCTTAAATATTCATTTCTCATATCTTAAAATTTCTCGTCTACAATAAAAACTGTTATTGTCTTGAATCTGATGTTTTATTTCACAAAGTTCCAAAATAAATCCATTCACATAATCCAATCAGTTATTGTAAACTAAAATATGTTCATTCATGAACGATTAAGAGTTCCTGCATACATTACCCCCTTGCCTGATCCATTACCAGCAATGGGAAGAAATCCATACCCTGTTTAGGGAGTAGTAGACACAAGGTAACGACATCCTATCTAACTAAAATATAATCCCCATTTACACAATAAGTTGTAGATACAAAAATTATGAAATATGGAATATAAAGCCAGAATCCAGATAAAACATCTACGCATATATGTCACTCCTGTAATGCTTGCTTGATATGAACACGTGAACTTTTGTTTTGTGTTTGGTGAATCTAATTCAAGGTCATAAAGATGTAAATGTAAATGAATGTAATAATTTGTCTACCTGCATGTAAGCGTTTTGTCCTTGTATATCAGATCTTATACCTTGAATTGAATTATCCATCTGAAAATTCAGTAAAAAAAGTTTGTTATAGATATCATAAGGCTAACTGAGTGTTAATTATGTTATTTCTTTATGGAAAATTTACTTGCATCACTACATCTTGAAAAGTAACTTAGATGTTTAAGTGGTATAGTTTATTCGTAAAACAGGTAGATCCAAGTTCGCACAGATCACATGATATCTTGAAACATCTTAATGTGATGTTGTTGGATTTATATCAACCTCATTCAGGATATGTTGAAATTTTCATTCCTATGGAAATAAGAAGCTAAAATAAATTAGCAACTTGGTCCATAATTTTTGGCTTACCTCGACGAAGTAAAAAAATCGAAACATAGCGTGATGTTTCCAGCGGCGTCAACAATATATTAGTCTGAGATTATGTCAGCTTAAGTTGAACCACTAATAGGTCAAGTATATTTGGTATGCAGTTGAATTAGCATGAATTAGCATGGGCACATCTCATTTCCATTGTGATTTTTTGGGCTCACCCCCTCAGTCATAGTTTATCGACAGTGAAACTTTGCTTTTTTATATGTTACTGTTAGTGATTAAATCTTTTTAAGTAGATCCACTAACTGTGGGTCAGTAATATTAGGTATGCAGTTGTATAAGCATCGACAAATCTCATTTCCATGGAGGTTATATGTCCATGTACCTTCAGTTATGGTTCATTGACTTTGGATGTTTTGCATTGTTTACAAGTTTTACTGTAGATTCATTTACTTTCATGGTTGCCAATTCTTGTGTATGAAGGAAATATTGTAATTTCGTGAACAATAAAAATCCAGGAAATTGGCATCCAACGAAAAATAATGAATCCACAGTATCCTTTTAATTCAAACATTTGCATTATACTATTAAAATTACGTAAAGGCGAGACGAGACGTATTTAGTTTATATATTAACTATACAAAAATGTATAGTTTTTTTTTAACGGAAAGTCTGTTTAAAGCAATGTTATACAATGGTGAAGAAAAGCATTCTTCATATACAAGATATTATTTTTGTAGAAATGTTGCCCCCTTGTATTTATCAGTTTATTTTGCCCAAATGAAACACCTAAACATAAAAAAGCCATATGAGTCTTGGTTGCTGAATGCATGTCCTGCAACATTGCATTTAATGTATATTGATAAACAGTAAGGGCATCTTGTGTAATCCAACTAAGGTTGTACGCCATATCAAATTATAGCTCATGCAAGTTTGAGGTTATAATGTAAAAGATTGAATTTTTGTGGGATTTTCATAAGAAGACATGGTTTTGTACTTCTTCTTCATATGGTGAAATTTGTTAAAACATTTTTGTATGGTTTATTTAGGAATAGAACAGAATTTGACAAAAACACTTCACACAATGTGTAGTTTTGTTTCTCCATATTTTTGTGCGTCTCAAGACTTGTGGTTTATTATTTTACGATTAAATAACTCCAATTCAGAATTCAACCAATGAAAATGCTTGATTTGGTGTTTCAAGCACAAGTTTTATGATTGTAGGCTCTGATTGCAATAGCAAATCATAGACATTATTTCTCTATCATATGGAAAAAAATGTTTGTCAGTGCAAAATTTCAAACATTTTACTTTGGAATGAAACCAAACTTGACAGAATCATTTTATATCTTGTGATATTATGTATCTTTGTTTTTAAAATGTGTTGATGGGATAGACTAAGGGGGTTCCCTACGCAAAAAAATGAGTTTTGCTTATCGTATCAATTACAGCTTGCAGAGCTGATATACCACATTTGAAATTTAGTGCAGATCAGGTTGTTTTCCAATACTGTAAAATTCAGAAATTATTGCGATATTTTTCTTGATGCGAAAAATGCAACAGTATCGGGTATGCAATGTCAAAAACTTGCATTCATAATTTCAGTAGTGATATGTCTATAAAAATGCTTCAAACGCTTTCTTTAGACCTTGCATTTTTACCAGTAAAAGAGGGACGAAAGATACCAGAGGGACATTCAAACTCATAGATCGAAAACAAACTGACTACGCCATGGCCAAAAATAAAGAGACAAACAGACAAATAATAGTACAGATGACACAACATAGAAAACTAAAGTCTAAGCAATACGAACCCCGCCAAAAACTGGGGGTGATCCCAGGTGCTCCGGAAGGGTAAGCAGATCCTGCTCCACATGTGGCACCCGTCGTGTTGCTTATGTTATTACAAATCCGGTAAATAGTCTAATACGGTAGGTCACATTCGTAGAAAGGGAAGGGTATTGTAGTTACGACATAAAGAACATATCCTATATTATCTGTGAAACGGTTATTCCATAACGGTCAACCAACACGTGATGGCGTCCGTAAAATTTACGAAGGGATGATTTCAACTTTACCATTTGGAACTCTTGGTTTAATAGCTTCCTTGTGAGCAGAAATCCTCTATCAAGGAAATCATGATAGGAAATACAAGCCCGGAAATATCGGGAGTAAACGATGATTTACAATAATAATGCATGCATTAATTTCTGAATTTTCAGTATTGCTTTCTTTCATAATTTTGAGTAGGCAATGTTTTTGTGCCGATAACAAACTTTTATTTGGTCATTGTTTTCTTGCATGTCTGAGGTGGGCAGAAATCTGTTGTTTTTGCAGTAGGCTATTATATATTGTAACTTAAACTAGCTAAGCTTTATATCAAGAGGTTAAGAAAAGCAAAGATAAATGTCATGAATTTAATGTTGTCTCAAAACTTTCAATTGTTATTTGGTCTGATAACACAATTGTCATACTTCGATATTCTTTGACTTAAAATATAATCCCTACTGTAGACAGTGTACTACTGACAATGTTTTACATTCACCTTCCCAACTCATTTCATCATGATTTATGCATAAAATGTCAAGCAAGGAGGTCGAAATTTGATTGTAGAAAAATCGGGTATATGTTCTTTAAGGTAAAGTAGTTATTCGGTCCAGTTGAAAAAAGGTAAAAAAACTAGTACGCATGAAGCTGTAAAATTTGAATGAAGACCCGCTTACAATAAAATTGTTCTTATTTTAAGTAAAAGCCGATGTAGGCAAAAGTAACAGAAAAAATAATAAATCAATAAAAAATTAAAAGTAGTCGCGAAAGTTACCTCATCAAGCTTCTTATGAATGTCTAGTAGATTAAGGGTGTATTTGTTACACAAAGACTCATCCAATGGCCTACTCTCGATCCTCGTCATGTCATCTTGTTTACTAGGGTCAAGTTGTAGGACAAAGTTTGTTAGGTCTGTCCATAAGCTGTTGTATTCTGTCTGTGATATAGTGCCTGTGGTATTGTGACTCAAATAGTCATTCTTGTATTGCCGTAAGCTCTGTACTGCAGCATCATCAGCTGGTGTCAAATTATTGCAGTTCAACAAAATCAGGCTGGATAAGGTGATATCAAGATCTTCTATTTGAACAGGATTTGCTGTGAACTTGCAGTGACAATCATGTAGGACAAGGCCAGGTTTCTCTGAATATAACCGTTTCCATTGACAGTAGATGAGTGGTAAGGATTGATGGTTATAACAGTTTTGCGCATCGACACAGCATCGTGCATTTCTATGACGTAGATGAAACAGGATGTGTATTACTGACTGTGTGTTGAGGAAAGCCTGTAGAGATGTTAGTCCTTTACTGGTGTAGTCTCTTTCAAGTCTGGTCCTGAACAGTGGTGTTACAACCTCCATTATAACAGACCCTACTATAAAGTATCGTCGTTTATCATCCCTGTCCATCCTGTAATGTAAAAGACAACAAATAAACATAATGTCTAGTACAAAACTATTATAATCAAGAAGCACTTTGAATATAACTGCAAAACTAGAATATCTACTGCAGTGTAAAAAGTTAACGTCTGTATTACTTTTACTTCTGTATTTCTTTTACTTCTGTATTACTTTCCTTTCTGTATTACTTTTACTTCTGTATTACTTTTACTTCTGTATTACTTTTACTTCTGTATTACTTTTACTTCTGTTTTACTTTTACTTCTGTATTACTTTCCTTTCTGTATTACTTTTACTTCTGTATTACTTTTACTTCTGTATTACTTTTATTTTTATAAGTGCAGGAATGTATATTGTTGGAGAGGGTTGATAATCCTACAGTGTACATCTAATAAGTAAATGAAACAGTTGTTTTATTACTCTATTTTGATTGGACTTGGATATTGAACATATAAAAGTATTAAAATATTTTATGATACAAGAACCGTTTCTTTTCGTAAGCAGGAAACACCTGAACAATAAAATGATTAAAAACTGAAAAACAATACGATGACGTGAAGGGTGAAAGCGGTAGAATTTAACATTTATGTTTATTTTGATGTTAATTGTATTTCAATATATATCATTTTGTGCATTACTGAAGAAAAATATATACCTATTGTACTAACTCAAGGTTAACTTGACCTAGTTTTCAGACTCCACACTCTCGGTATTTCTAAATGAATATATAGCTTCTTTCAACTTAATACACAGGTTCCCTTTCAAGGATATATGATCTAAAATTTACAAAAAAACAACATGATCTTCATAGAGAAAGATAGCTAAAATTTTGCACTTCCGTTGGGTTTCATTAATATCCATAGTATATCAACTTTGGTGTGGATAGGGGGAAACATAAAATTTCAATACTTAACAAAATACAAATGTTCAGTTTCTTTGATACAAGCAAATGATGAACCACAAAAGTTTCCTCAAAGCAGCTGATTTGTCTTGAACCACTAATATTAAAACCAATGAAAATAAACGAATCCACAGTAGCAAATTGGAACACTGGCCAGATGTCAGCTTAAAACAACTGATGTGATCTGTTTTTTAATTACTCGTTATTGGTCAATTGTCGCAATTAATTTAATAAAGTGGAACAGTGTAGCAGTTACTCCAACTCCGCAATCAATATATTAAACGTGGCGTGTATGATGGCTTCTTTCAAGCTCAGACATTTTCACATATGTGGTAACATTTTCTGTGTTCGAAGTGAGACTCAACATTCCCCAATTTTGCAAACCCTGAAAAGCTTTTTGTGATGAAACTTCTCAAGATAAAATTTTTCTATTTTCACACAAAAAGTTATTTAGTAGTTCAGTTCTGTGTAAACAATAAATAACTCTATAGTTTTTACATCTTTGTTCTATGTTCCTCACTTTTTTAAATAAGAACAAATGGTTAAGCGTAATTACTAATTCCACTATCACTGCACAGAGATTTTTTGTTTACAAACATTCCATTTGAGGTACATAAGGGATATTGATCCATATGGTAAATCTATATCAAGAAAATATTATATATCTTTTGAATAAGAATTGACTTCTATTATGTATAAAAATAAGAAGATATGGTAAAATTATCAGTGAGAAAACTCTCCACCAGAGACCAATTGACATAGAAGTTAACAACTATAAGTCATCGTAAGGCCTTCACTAATTAGCAAACCGATACTGCATAGTCAGCTTTAAAAGGCCCCGAAATGACAAATGTAAAACAAACGAGAAAACTAACGGTCTGATTTATGTACAAAACAATGAACGAAAAACAAATATGATATAAAGTAACAAATGAAAACCACTGAATTACAGGCCCATGACTTGGGACGGGCACATACAGAATGTGGCGGGGTTTCAATTGTATGAAGGCGCAAACCCTCCCATGAATTGGGACAGTGGTGTAATGTCACATCACAAGAACAAACTATGCAAAACAATAAATGAGAAACAGCAAAAAACAACACCACTCAATTACAGGCTCCTGACTTGGAACAGGAACATATAGAATGTGGCGGGGTTAATCATGTTTGCGGGCGCCCCACCCTCCCCTTACCCGGAATTGTGGTGTAACAGCACAACATATGAACACACTAATAAAAATCTGTTGGAAAGGGCTAAACTCATCAGATCGATACAAAGCAGATAAACATGTAACAAAAACACAAACCAGGTGGCAGGGTATTTATACATCCCCACAGCAAAAAATACACTAAGTACAGATCTGAGAGTACTCGCAGTTACTGACAGGTAGTTCAAAGCCAATAACAACTAATAAAAAAAAAAACATGTAGCAAATAATAAAATATCAATCAGTCCACATCCAACTTCCAATGGTTTTAGTGTAGAGTCATCATTTATAGTAAAAGAAAACCATTACATTGTACAATGCCAAAATAAAGGTATTGAGATATGGTAGAACCGTGAATGTGCATATGTTCATGTATATAACAATAATATTAGTTTGGTTTTAATTTACTGAAAAAAAATCAATATTCAGCATATTATTTTTTATAGACAGTAACACTAGATGATGGGGTTTTTATTTTACATTCCTATAATGTTTTTTCTTTGGAAAATAACACTTAAAAAAAAAAAAAAAAAAAAATTAAGCCCTTTTCAAGAAATAAATATACTTTGATATAACCACGGTACTAATTAAATAAGATTTATAAATAAAATCTTGTTTCTGTACTTGGTGAAAATACAGTGGTCTGGGAAAATCATCAAAATATTGTTGCTTTATTAATATTACACCTTCAGATTGAAAAATTAAAGCAAGAAAGTATATGCAGTGATATATTTGAAAAACATTTTGTATATGGGGTATTGATATCAGATATAATAATTATCACTTGAACTAAAAATACAATATGTTTAGGGTCAATTTATCTCTGTCTTTTTGAACCTCTAGTTGTGCACTTTAACATTTAGTATAATAGTTTCTATACTCACATCAAACTATGCTGTTTTTCTATCTAATAATCACGTTTTATAATATAGCAAAGAAAATGAAACTTTCTTGTTGGCAATGTTAAGGTAGTATGGAAATACCCTTTTGTATTTATAACATATAAATTAAGTGATTTTTTTCAATACAAACTCATAAAACAAGTCAGATAGGTTTTGATCTGGTGCCATATCAGTTAAAATATAACAAACTAATCATGAATAAACCAATCTTTGTGAATACACAGCATTTGAATTATAGGTCTTAAAAATTATCGATAATATCTATATTTCTATTTATTTTGTATACTATATTTAATTCATCAATGAAAAACCAGAAAAAAAACTTAGGGTATGGATGTATGTAATTAATTTAGTAATAAGTAACATTTTAAAACTTGACTTTATTTTATTGTCCAAATTGATTTAATTGGACAGTGGTTTGAGAAAAGATTTATAATTACTGGAAATCCCCCCTCCTCCCCGCCCCCCAAAAAAATACTTAATGTGGAAAAAGTTATCAATGCAAGTCTTTAGCTCTTTAGCAAATTTTTGTTCAAACACGATTATATTAATTTCGGTACTTATACATCCTCGGATTTCAAATGTTTGGCTTTGAGCGTTCCTGATGAAGGTACATCCAGAAAAGCGCTTCGGACGCATGAAATTATTAAACGTGTTGTTTTCAATTTTTTACAGCACTGGGTCGATACCTCTGCTGGTGGACTATCAGTCCCCGAGGGTATCATCAGCTCAGTATTCAGTACTTCGGTACTGACATGATTTATAACAAACCTTTCTAAAATTGTCCGTTTATAAATTTCGAAATTTCAAAGAAACTAAGGTTTCAACTCCCGCAGGCAAAGTTGACCTTAGATGAATTTGGCAATTTTTTTAGGTATTTTTGGCATATAGCTCTTCAACTGTTTCGGTACTTATACATCCTCGGATTTCAAATGTTTGGCTTTGAGCGTTCCTGATGAAGGTATATCCAGAAAAGCGCTTCAGACGCATAAAATTATTAAACGTGATGTTTTCATTTTTTTACCCTTTTGAAATAGTTCTAGATGGAATAGAAATGAAATTAACACCACTTGTAATGTAATATTATATTAACGCATGTATTGTTTATAAATTTTCTCTTATAAAGACTGAAAATATTTTTTTGAAATTAACAAGAGTCTTTCTGACTGTCTTTAAAACATAGGCAGTAAAAAGGAAAACAAAGTGTGTATAGCTTTTTATAAGTTTTTAATACTCTTAACTTAGGAGGAATACTAAATTGAGGGATGCTTAAACATCGGTTTGTTGCATTTCAGCTTCATTAACTTCTTGGGAAAAGATGAAAATAAAGGTTAAATCCAATGTAAGATAATAATAGAAAGTTGCAATGAAAGGTCAGAACCACTTTAGTGTTTGTTAGGCAAAAAAATAATATATGATTCAATTATATGATAAACTGTTTAGATCTGAATAAAATCATCATAGATACCAGGATTGAAATTTTGTAACACCACACTTCTTCAGAACATATTTTCAGTTATAAAGAACAACACATTATGGGTATATGCAACAATATATGAATGAAAGGAAGTAATTGGAATAGGTCAATAACACAGAAAACCAGAAAGACATTTAGAAATCACCATTATATCTTCAGCAGTAGACATTTACTTTCTGGAACCTACAAAAATAGCAATCCATTATCTGTGGACTTGATAATAACACAAGTAACTATAGTGTATAGTTTGTTATGGACTAACAATAAGTAACTGCCAGAAACGTTATTGATTAAAAAAAATCCATATTCATGTAAATTTACACTAACTTCAGAACAAGTACTAGTTGAAGGCTCATTTTGATAGAGTTTCAGTATAAACCTGGAATTGTCAGTTGGGATACCTGCTGTTACACCTCAATATCTGAAGATATTACAAAACGTATCTCTGGACGTCTTAGGATTGTATTTTAAGGCATGTTGGAAATGAGAAAGGATAAAGCTAAATGTCTAGGCAAATTGTTGTAGAGTATGAAGAGTTGTGTTTGATTAAGCATTTATAGAAAGGGATAAGTCATTGAATCTAACATATACTGAGTATACCTTTAAGAATGTTTTTTCAGGGTATGTAAGTAGCTTTCAATTAAACAAATAATATATGTTTTTCAAAACCTCATATGAATATGTTTCATGACATTTATATTCTAGGGAGTAATTTATTGAAAAATTTAGGTGAGAGTTTATGTTAGAAATGTAGAACTGTTCTTATGTATATCAGAAATCGACAGCATAGAAGTTTGAGTGTTGTTATGGCTTCCATGCAAACTTTCCCACCCCCCAAAATAATAATCATTCATTTCAGTAAAGAACGAATAAGTTTAATTATCCATTTATGAAATATGTTTCACCAACACAATTATGTCATCCGTAGTGCCTAAAATGTAACACCAAACTATTTCAGACATTGTACGATTGTCAACTAAAAGTCACGAAAAGTTGCTGAAATACCTGGTTGACTCAGACTGATAACAAATTCAAAAGCAAATACGTCCAAGGTAACAAATAAAGGAATGAAAAAAAATATTATTCATATGTGGATTTAGAGGCAACTTTAGGTGCAATGGCTTTATCATAACTCACTGTACTTCCAATGCCTGTAAGAAATCATGGGTAAAATGGCAAGCTGAGATTAAAGGTTCAGGCAAAATCGTTTCAGTGTAATACAGCTGACTAATCTTCTTTGAGCCAACTCCATCAAATCTTTAAACACAATTAATGCAAATACAGGATATCCCTATTTATTTTCCGGGTTGGGGGGGATACAGGAGTATGGTTATGTTCCTTATATTATGCTGTCAATACTATGTAGACAAAACAGCTTGTTTTAAAAACACTCATAACTGTACGCTTAATATGTACGCTTTATATGTAGACGAAAACAAAATATAAGTGATGCAAAGATAGATGAACATATGTCTAAATGGAAACAATCAATCTAAACACAAATAATGTAGCACACCTCAACTTCCTTTTACTACAAAAATATAAGTATAAAACAGCATTGTAAATACCAGGAATAGTTTCAGAATTATTTTGTTGGGGGACATGCATAATTAAGTAAAATATCTATGTTTTCTGTTGATGAAATATTAAGTATAAAATGGCTGAGCAAAGCAAGGCAAACAAATAACTTTGTAAGATTTATTATGATGACAAGATGTTAAATTTTATTTTTCCGTTATAAACTTTTAAAAAGAAATAGGAATATTACATGCCATCTTCACTCCTAATCCTCCGAATCCTCCTTTGCATGCTGCATACTGTCTGTTGTCTTACTTAGCATTTTTGCTATTTGAAATGTCTATCTATTTATCTATCATAATTTTCAAAATAATAAGTAAAAACACTAAACATCGTTAAAAATCTACATTCACGGACAATAACTCCAATTAATAATCTGGAGAATTCAAACCCATCGTGATTAATGGGCAACAATTTTAAGAAGGATTCGTCGGGTGATTTCGACCATTCGACTGATTTGTAGCTCTATTATTGCTGATCACTTTTGCTATTTAAAGTGTATATTTCTTATGTTCTTTAAGATATCAAGCAAAGAAACATAAAAATGGTAAAAACTGTCTTTAAAGAGCAATAACTCCAGTAAGGAATCGTCGGACTATTTCAGCAGTTCGTCTTATTTAAAGACCTTAACTGATCATTTTTGAAAATTTAAGTTCATCTATATCTATTATAAAATAGGCAAAAAGAAAAAAAAAATGGTCAAATCGTCATTTTAGGGCAATAACTCCCATAAGAATTGATCTCACAGTTTTATGCAAGTAAACAATAGGTAGACCTAAACATTTTGAACATTTCTGTAACGTCAGATTTTCTCTGTCCTCGATGGTTTTAAAGAAAATAGGCGAAACATAAATTTTACTCCTATGTTTTATTTTTAGCTATGTTTGTCATGTTGTTTGGCAGTCGGGGTCATCGGACACATTCTTGAATTAGACACTTTACCCAAAAGATACGGGTGACGTCGTTTGATTATATTTGGCCCAGGAGTTTTAGAGGAGATAATTTTTTTTTAAATTTAACGGACGACCACGGATGGCAAACAACGGACGACGAACGTCATGTCATGAGAAAATCTCAGTTGACGCTGTGGTCCAAGTGAGCTTAAAGATAACAATAATGACTTAGTTGTACAGGTTATGATATTTCTGAGCATTTTCGAACTTAACTATTAAAATTTGGAAATATTGCATTTTAATGTATTTGAAATTAACTGTAATTTAAGATGTCACTTGTTTCTATTGGAATTATTTTATAGAGTCTATGTGTATCATCAACCAAAGCTAATAGCTATTATAAAAGTGATTCAATAAAATAAACCTTTACTTTCACAAAACATGTTTTGAGAATGCTAATATTCCTTGTATCGTAGACTGCATTATTTCTCATAGAAAACATTGAATATTCCCCAGTGTGCAGTCGTTGTGACCAGTTTTCTTTGTTTCGTACTATATGCTAGACTACAACGTTTGTTAAGTCCCTTAGCTGTAACAGTTTTATACTGTCTACTATCCGACGACACATGTTGTAATGAATTATCCTCACACAACACATACAGACTGCCATCTTGTAGCGAAGTCATCGTCCTCGGTTCTGATGATAATGTAAGGTTGTAATGTATATCATCCTTATAACTGTACCAGTACAGTTTTTTGTTGTTGTTGAAATATTTATCACAGTAGAATATGTTGTCACCATGACAATGTAATCTATAAGGACGACATTCAGTCACTATCGTCTTTAACCCCTTTTCTTCCTGATAATCAGTGATCATAAGGCCGTATGCACCACATGCAACCAACTTGTTTTCTATAGTTGTAATATCTCTCCACCTCCACATTCCAGGTACCGAAATTGATTGAAGTTTGAGTTTACTATTTATGTCATAGATGTCTATACATTCACTATTCATCAGTGTAACAGCTACTGTAAAGTTGTTCACTGATGTAACATAACATGGTCCACCCTGTACATTAATACTGTCTATCTGTAATCCTTCTGAGTTACAGATCAG